GGTCATAGTAAATAAAGCATAAAAGATATGGCTCTCCTAAATGGCAATGGGATCTGGGACAAGSAGTTTTGGAAAAGGGCATTTTGAAGCTCAGTGTGAAGCTTTAGGAAAAGGTTCTGTAACTCTCCTGGGGGAGAAGTAACTGGGCAAACTCCTCTGRTGAGGGAACAGTTTTCTACCGTTTCACTTGCCTTAATAACTATTAATTGGTTCCTGTTCTAAATTACACACACCTAAGGTGTCAGGGAACACCAGGATTGTTAACTGACTAAATAATATTCCAACTCKTAAGGGAAGATCAGACCCACATTCCTTTCAAATAATCTACTTACTAGTAGTCTGTTTCGGCAAAGTCTGATAAGAATCATACCTGGATTTGCTCCTCACAAGCTAGAACCATTTGCCTTTCTAAAACTATTTCAAAAATAATTTTCCTTTCCATTCTCTTGAAGTGAGCTAACAGGACTCTTAAATCTACTCAATGGACATGAGAGGGTTTCTTCCTACTTTCCCCCTTTTCTTTTTAAGAAAATAAATTCTCTTACCTTTCCTCAGAAACATCTCTCATTTATCTAACACAATCAGTATAAAGCTAACAAGAACAAAGGAAGACACTCCCTTTTAATTAYTTTGTATAATTTTAGGTAGTTTTACCTAAACATCTTGAAATCCTCCAAAACCAGGCTGCCTAACATTAGAATTAAGACAGAATCTTAGTTCCACCAATGCAGTTTTATTACTGCAATGACCTGATGAGCAAACACTCACACATAAATGTTTTATAAAGCATTCCTCTGTCAAAATGCCTGCCCCTCGTGAATATAGTAATTAATCAGGCATTTCAAGTGCTGAAGCAAAAAATATCGGTGATCTAAAATATGTCAAAAATGTAAAGAGTCAATTAATGCTGAGTTACTCCATGCATGAATGAACAATTTGAGCTGGGCTTGAATACAGTATTTTTAATAATGCAGCTGCCATATTCGTTGGTCTCTGCATTTCCTGAAAACTAATCTGCCAAACAAGTTATACAGCATTAATCTTCTGCGCTTCCGTTCTTACAGGGTGAGTTAGTAATGCTCCACCATCGCACGTTACTTCACTGAAATGCTACATGCTTTAGAACACTTACACATACTACAATTCTAAAATGAAGACACACATTTTCCACTTGAAGAACTCTTACTGTCACYTCTGAGCCATCTGAGTGGCCAGTACAAGTTTCTAGGAAACTTCAGGTCAGYTTAGGCACTAATTTTTAAATCTTTTAAAAATTTGTTTTGGTAATTTTTTCCTAAGTACATGATATTTTATCTGCAGTTTTGAGATATTTCTAAGAGATTGTCAGACTCATAGCTTTTCTTTATTTCAAAATCATGGTAGCACGACACATTTGAAAAGAAATGAACTAAAAGTATTTTCACACAAACAAAAAAAAAAAAAAAACCCTCTCCTGTAGCACCTGATTGGTACTATCCTAACTGCAGTGCTTGACCTGAGTATGCTCTGGGATAGCTTCACCTATAATCAGCTTCATAYGGAGTTCACATAAAATGTGTGCTAATCTGGGCCTTCAAGAGCAATTTTTTTTTTGCCTTTATAAATACAGCTTGTTTCATTTCAGGGTGAAATTTTAAATAACCTTTGAGCAAAACCAAAGTCAGGGTTACTTTGACTGAGTAATTCAGTCCAATGAAGTTATCAATAAAATTAGTAGTGTGCCTAAATACTTAGGCTGGGTTGATGAAAGACAACAATAATTCTGTATAAACATTTACAACTTCAAATAAAAAGTGATTAAAATAACAAGTAAATATTCTTTAATTGCAGATAACAGCAGCATTACAGTTAATATTTAATCATGACATTGTGAGAATATTCAGTAGTGGAAGACAGGATTAACATATTGCTTTAAAACATTCCATTACTTTCTGCATCTGTTTACCGATAATAAAAGAAACAGCTGCTCTAAATGTACCATTAACAGGTGTAAACCGTTCATTTGAGATTTTAAAACATAACTCTCCTCCGTTTTCCTCCTTAGCTATTCTGAAATGACATTACAAACACCCCTCCTATTAGCTTACACAATTAACTCATAATTGTTTAACCTCCCTGCATGTCCCCAAAACGTATACATGTGGAGTTAGCTTCCTTCTCCTTTTGGGCAAAAGGCTCTGTTCTCCTGCACTGCACATCCTGAACTAATGCACCAGATGTGTCCCATAAAATGGTTGGTCACACTATTCAGCAGCTTTCCTTTAACAACTGTTCTATATCAAATTTACTGTAAAAAAGCATCATAATTATGAAGTAACACTGTATCAAATTCACAGACCGAATATCTCACTATGTTCRGTTAAACTATGAATGATAATTGAGCTTGAAATTGTATATTTACTTTAAATAAGTCCTCCAAATCATCTGCAACAATGTGTGCTTAATTCGAAGCCATTAACAAAAGATTTAACATTTCCACATTTATACTCTCCATAATTTCAGATATGATACTTCATACTTATAGAGAGAGAGGGAGTGAGGGAAAAAAATAAAAAGCAAGTTCTGGTAGCCTTCCATTTGCAAAATTAAATAGAAGTACCTTCAGCTTCTGATAATTGCTAACCCATCCTTTTAAATGCTAGGTACAAAAGAAACAAAATTSTCAAGAATCCTTCAATATTATRTTGCAGCCAAAAGAAYAAATTCAGAATTACAAGTTTATTTSACAAAAGACACCAAGSCCCYCTACAAACCCAAAAGCTGACCTGCTTTACAGAAGATAAAAAAAAACTCTGAAGACCGAATATTGTTACATTTTCAAAAACATAAAAAGTTGTTTGTTGATGCTAACTTTTATTAAAGCAATACCAGTATATTTGCAGGGAGAAAAAAAACAAATTAAATCCTTAAGACTAAGGAATGTTTGCTTGTATAACTAAATAAAGGGCTTGGTAATATTGATTCCATTGATACATATTTTAAATATTCCACATCGGAATATGAAAATACACAAGAATCCTTTTAAAAAATCCCAAATTACTTCATCTAGATTTTAGTGTATCCAGTGATTGCCAGGTGCTCCTGAAAAAGCTTAAACATTCCTCTGTTTTTTGTATAGTTCTATGAACAGCTCCTCTTCGTGATAAAGGGAAAAAAAAAAACCAAACAAATGAGAAATAGTCCAAACACCTTCATACACACACTGGTTAACTAAGAGGAAACAGGAACTTCATAATGAAGATTCCTATTACATTCAGAAAAGAAACATGTAAAAGGTACTACCTCCATTTCATGTTTATACCCATATTTAAATGCAAGGGAAAAAAAGTTTTAATGATGATTCCTGTATTTATAAAGAAAATTGACATTCAATGGTTTCCCATTAAAGTAATGTGCAACTGCTCAAAATCTGGGCAAAGGGGACACCAGAGCTGCAAACGTACCACTGGAACCAAAGGTGCCCCAACTGAGCATACAAACGATCCTCTGAAAAATGCAAATTTTGTGTACAACCAAAGCCTATGTACAACCAAAAGGCTTTGTAAGTTTTGTTATGAGAACAGTCTGGAAAGCTCCTGACTCTCCCCCAGGGAACACTGCTACCTGCACTAGGTGTATTTTAGGACAGCAAACATGCACACCATCAGAAGCAAGGTAAGTAATAACCTKTGATTTACTGGGGACGTGAAGTAAGCAAGGAACGATGCTCATCCAKGTCAGCCTCAGACCCCAATCTAAGTGCAAATTGTACAAATCCGAAATGCCAGCAGAGGGCAGCGCAAATACGAGAAGTCCCTGTAATGGCCCAGCCCGGCCACTCGTGTGAAGCAGCTGCGTGGGTGCAGAGTGGGGACAAGGAGGTGGCTGCCACTCCTCGCCACTGGGACACACGGTCCTGCCCTGCAGCCTCTCCCTCGATGGGAAGAGGCCAAGTACAACAATATCCAAGTCCACTCAGCACTGCACGTTTCAGGTTTTCTTCTCCTTTCAAGCGAACAACTCGCACAGCTGGGGACCACGGGACAGGCAGCCTTTGTGTGCTTCCCCAGAGCCCTGTGGGGTTCACCGTGCAGCCAAACACCCGAGCAGTGGGATCCCATGCCGATGCAATGGCAGGAAGCTGCTGTGACCTCCTTCTCCAGAACTGCAACACCAAGCACTCCTCCACTGAACTTCCTTTAGGTTTATAACCCTAGAACTGGGGTACTTCTGTTGCTTAAACAAGGAACACAAAATCATGCATCGCTAGGGGCATCGGTGAGAACCTCTCTAGCAACAATAAATAACAATTCTTTTTKTCCACACTGGATAAAGCATGGAGAGAGATCCACTGTGTCCTATCTAAAGCCATCTCCCATCAGCAGAGCAGCAGTGTAACTCACAATTGCACCTTTCACTCCCAAGCACTAGTACTGTGCTGGGGACACACCCAGACTTACAGCTCCAAAGCCGTGCCACAGCACKGAGTGCTGGCACCCAGCCATGCAACAATCCTCCAGTACCCCACAGAGACAGAAAACAAACTCTATGTAGACCTACCTAAGGAAGAAATCCACAGCAGCTCTCCAAGGTGTAGGGTCAGCAAACACAGCTAGGAAAGGAGGGAAGAGCCATCTCCCAGTTGCCTAACCTGGTGCACCTGCACCCACTGAAAATCCTGATGCTAATTTGCTTCCATAGCAACTAAACCCACCCTGGCACCTGTGAATACCATTTGCTAATCACGTTCTGTCCTCAAGCTAGGGCCTGAATACCTATTAAAACAACTTGTTCTCTTAATGTAGACTCAAATGCTTATCCAAGATATTAACACTAGCTTCAGCATAATCAGGAGACAGTTACCTTACYTTTTGGAAAAGAATCAGCAATTATTAATCCCATGAAATATTATATATTATACTCCAAACTGAATAAAAGTGGTGCACACGTATATTTAAGTTCAAAGTTATTTAAGTATTTCCAACAAACTTAGGACATAAATTTCCATTTTGCAGCTTGCTTTTGGYTTTTCTTACTGTAATGGCTACTCTCTAAACTCTCACAGTTTGTATTCCAACAAGAACAAAAATAACAAACGATAACCTTCTGCACCCAATGTGAGGCTGGGATCCTGTTTCCCCATCAGAGCCAAGTGTCATGTCTCCTTCCTCTATCTCCATCCACCTTCTCACTTCGATTCTAAAAATTCACATCTTCTGCACTGAGTGACATTTACAGCCAACAAGTGTCCAGTTTGCAAGTGACATTCTCATTCTGTGCCTTGCTTACCATTAAGCTTGAAAAGATATCCTGCTCGTTCCTTCTGATCATCCTTGCTCTTTATGAAAAGGATAAACTTACTTTAACGGCTTAAAGAAATATTCATAGAATTGCAGAATAGTTTAAGTTGGACCTTTTAAAGGTCACCTACTGCAACTCCCCTGCTGTGAGCAGGGACATCTTCAACTAGATCAAATTGCCTAGAGCCCYATCCAACCTGACCTTGAATATTTCCACAGATGGGGCATCTACTACCTCTCTGGGTAACCTGTTCTAATGTTTTACCACCCTAATTGTAAAAAACTTCTTATATCTAAACTAAATTGGTGCCTTCAGTTTAAAACCAGTACCTCTTGTCCTACTGCAACAGGCTCTGGCAGAAAGATAACCATTGCCTTTCAGGTTAGAATTTACATGTTGTGATATATGGTTGTGATGTCTTAAATTCTTAAATTAGTTCACCAGTTCACCATCAGTGGTTTACATATTCAAACTCTACATTTACTTGTCTGGTCCAAGTCTGTCCACAAACTAGCTTGTACCTGGGCCTTTCAGCAATCTTCAACCATTTCCCCAGGAGCCACAGCACGACAAAGCTACGTCCTGCCACCACGTTTTCATAGTGCCAATATTTGCATACAATAGCTGGGGATGACAGGAATTTTCAGGTAAGTTGTCTTGAAACTTTTAAAACACACTCTTCCAGAGACAGGGCATCTGCTATGCACAGAAGGCCTAAGGGGGTAGGTTTACAGAAGTAGGGCAYTACTTGAAATAGAGGAGTAAACATTGTGTTCTGGTAGAAAGAGAATGAACCAGTTTACCAAAATCAGTAGCTCTCTATATAGCAGACTATGCCCTAGTTATGCCACATTCTCCCTGAGGGAGGACAGTTTATGTTTGCCACCCCCAAACAGTTTTTGTATAGCACTGCACCAATAAACATCCATGGGCATCTGATTTCAGTGCTAACCTGTGCTCCTGTGACTCAGATCCTTTCTGCTTTCAAGTAACTGGACAGTTTTTGTCGATCAAAAGTTTTTAAAGTGTACTATACTTTCAAGAACCACACTTCTGTTAAGTGCAGAATTTTTGCAGACTGGGCACTAGGGCTGTCAGCACCCTTTTACATGAGCTAAGGATTTCCAAATAGAAATACAACACCATAGAAATGTAACTACAATAACTGCCTATGACAATGCCATATTTAAATACTTACAGCTATCTGGAATTCCTCTGAAAGTTAAATCTGATGTCCTTAGYATAGCAAACTTTGTCATGCTCTGTTGAAAGCAACTTCTAACCACTTCACATCTAAAAATTCTGATACATTGGTATTTCTTAAACCTGCAGCAATAAGAGAAGGATGAAACCAGTTGAGAACATTTCTTTAATAAACTCCTTAAAAAAATAGTGGTGAACAGTATTTATTCCCAGATTTCAAGTGGCAATTTTATTTAAATAAAGTCTTTCAAAGGGGAACATATAACAATGAAAAGTCATTATACAAAAGCTTTGCACAAAACATACTGAAATTACAACGTAGTGATCAAAATTAAGCAACAGAAGTATGACCCCAAACAAAATGTTCCATTTACTGAATAATTTCCATGGAGTTGTKCTTGTCAACTTCTGGAATATCTGTTAAGTGATGAAAAAAAGGACGACCATGAACGCAGCCTTTATTTTCCTTTCCAAGCTGTTGCTTCATCCTGTAAATTGTGTTTTGTACATCTTCTTTTGACAAATGYAAGGGCAGCTGCCGAGCTAAACGTACTGCTTCTCCCTGTGGAAAGGAAAAACAAAACTAAAAGCCCAGTAGTTTTAAAGCACCACTTTTTAGCACAGTAGCCTGGGGCTACCAGAAAGCAGGAATTAAGCACTCACTGTTTAAATGGCATTCTTTTCTGGAATATTCCAAATTCCAGAAATCTAAATGTAACTCTAAACATATCTTACTGATCAGTTCATGACATTTCTACAAGGAAGGCAGGCACAGTCAGCCCCCTGGTCATGTCTGCACTTTTAGCCTACTTTTGCAAGATGCTTTGTGTTTCTGAAGCTCTTATTCCCTGTTGCCACCAGCATCAGATGTTTACCAGCTCATAAGAACCATTTCACACCACAAACTTTAGAACCATCATAACTTAAGCAGTCAGTAAGCAAAGTTTGAAAAATACTCTAGATTAATGATGTATTCATTACCACTATGGACTGTTTCATACCCTGAAAGGCTGCTTCTTCAACCATTACCCTGTTCTTTCTTCTGCATCTATCCAATGACAGCAAAAGCTCTAGTCATGCTACCTGCTCAGGTACGAAATGTATGATAAAAGTTGTCATTCTGAACATGACACTGAATGGCATTTCCAGTGTTTACCTCCCAGAGTGGTCAAAAAATTCAGTGTTTATTTATGAATAACAGCTTTAATAGCTGTTTGCGTTTTTTTACAAACCATCCCTGTCTCAACAGTGAGCTTATCGATTCTTTAAGTTTGTTCCATGAGTGCATGAGAGTGGCTCAGTAGTACATAACAGAACAACTTGCTGCAAAAGCAGCTTACTGCCCCCAAAAGACAGGGAAAAATTTGGATAATAAACGYTTAAAAAATAAAACATACATTCTGTGTAAATATGTGCCTGGTCCCATTTTGAAATAACCCGATTAACTCGGCATGTTATAAATGTTTAAGTAAAGAAAGGCTTTACATATATTTGGTAACCTTTCTGAAGAGAGATCTTAGGAATTGGTATTGAAGAGTCTTAGTGAAACAGCTAGACAAGAAGTGATTGATAACTACTATTATTGGTTACTCCAGCTTTAACTAGTACCACGTCTATCAGTTGTCTTAGACACTTCATTGCCATTATTGTTTCTGGATGAACCATTTATTTATTTGAATATAAAATATTAACACAAATCACTGCCATTCTGTGGCAGTTCTATATTCTAACATGGAGAAATGTCATTCTAGTCTGAAARGTGCCTGTACAGAGAGAAATACTTYGTGAACATCAGCTTTTGGCATCTGCTCTATCACACTGGGTGACTGCTTTTGGGTATATCTGATGGAACTRTTTTGGTAAGGAATACACAACTCAGAGAAGATAGATATTCTCCTTTTCAAAAGAAACTTCTGTTTAGAACACAGTGGCATTCATTAAAACAGAAAGCTGAAGAAAGATTTTCAAGCTATTTAAGGAATTATTACAAGTTTAGCTGGCTAATACTTAAAAGAAAGCTTYTGTCTCACCTCCAAGTAATTTATCACTTTGAGAGGCCTACATTCATATACTTCTTTTGCATTTCTGTTAACTACTGCATTCAGAATTTCTTTCAAATCAGAAATTCCATAATATGGCAGACAATTTGCCATCCCTTCTATTTCCAGATGACTTTCTGCAGCCGAAACACCTGAAAATACAAAAACAAAACAGTAATTCATGCTCTGCTTTAAYTTCTATTCTGTAGTAATTCACAGAAAATTAAACTGATTCAAAGTCACTTAGTAATTTAGYCCAATACAATTAAGAAACTTTTTCGTTCCTCCCTTGGAATGAAAAGCATTTATTTGCACAATGTTTCATTATGATGATGCGTGTTTATTCACACCACAAATGTCTCAGCTTACATTAATCCAAATCCTAGCTGGCACTGTTTAATGCTTAAAACATTTGCAGCATTCCCAGTCTTGAGCACTGCTTAATTAAAGCTTCTGTGACTTTAATTTTATGTATGTTTAATTAAAGTAGAAGCTAGCAATAAAACACAATTCAGTTTGAAAAAAWTTAAAACAGTGTTGGCACTATTTCCTATGTAATTGGTTTAAACATCTGTGGAGTCCAAATGTTATAATAATAAATTAGATTCCGCTGAAATAAAAAGCAGTTTTYCCCTCCTACCACATCTGAGGAAAAACCTCAAGCCAATAAAATTAGAATCTCTGTGACTGATTTATCATTCATATGGTATCACTGCTAGAGCAGATACCACGCTGAGTAGGAATGATGAATAAAAGAATTAAACAGCCTTTCTAACAGAGTATCTATTCAAGCTTTGAGGTCTACATGATTTCCCTTCTTATTCACATCACRTGAAAAAAATTGATTTAAGTTGTTCCCATACAGTAACGTTTCTGCCACTCCCAGTCAGAAGGATGTTCTCAGGCTCACACRTTCTCCTTTAGTCCTTCAGACTATCTTCTCATTCATGTTGAGTGCACAGAAACCTCAACCCAACCTGCACAGCTACCCTCCCTTTTCCTTCACTACAAGTCTAACAAGTTAAAAGTTTCACAAAGACAGCATGGAAAACTTTAATTAATAATGAAARTAAATCCACTCTCATGTAATGGCTCCAGGTAGGATGAATTACCTTCAGCCTGACTCACAAATSGTTTTTGTAAAGTCAAAAGAGCTAGAGACAAATAGATTGTTCCAAGGTGGATTAAACTAACAACTGTCACAAGGGATAATTCCTGTTCGTAATCCAAGCAACAATGTGAAGTATTTCAGAAATGAGAGAAAATATATATGCAACCTAAGTCAGCAAAATGTACTTTCATTAGCTAGCAGAATGAAGCTGAGTCCAGGCACCGATAATTTGACAGTCATTAAACAAGAGCACAGATGAACAGGACAACTGTGCCAGGTTGAAACTCTTCCTGACTATGGGTGTGTTACTGGGTAAATAATGCTGCTGGGCCTTTTTAAGATTCATGGCACAAGTTAATTTGACCAGTGGGAATTCGATATAGAGAACAAGCCCCCATCCCCCTCCTTCTAAATCACATAACCTTCTTCCAGATATGTATTCAACACTGCTTCACATCTGAAACTTTATTCCATTTTTCACCCAGCCTTGTTTTCAAGCTGTCTTTTCCTAATCATGGCCTGCAAGCAGAGACATATTTTTACGCAATACTGTAAACCTGTGATCCAATTAAGCTTAAAGCAAAATATTTAATTATATGAAAGTTTGCYAGTTATAAAGGTGAGAAAAGACGATGTACTATGCTAATATTTCCCCATGGGAAAGCCTGTCAGTAAGTGACAGAAGGAAAAGATAAAAGTCTCTTCTAAAAATCTCCTTCAGCTTTTTTCTCTTCATTTTTGTCCCATTTCTGATTTTAATTACAGATTAGATTTGAGAAACCATTCCAGACCATTTGATTATGCTGCTTTCTCTCCGTAATTAAAACTTAGTAGATTTGAAAACCTTTCCTTAATTGCCCCTTTATATGCCATCAAAGTCAGGACAATTTTTTTAAGTGTCAGGTATTTAGATATTCAGTTTAAAAACTTGCATTTCCAGTTCTTCCCTTTAAAATTTAATGATAGTGAGGCTCTGGATTTGCAAAACATTTCCTCATGTACTCTTAGCCATTGTTCCATCTGCAGATTTTGACAGCCAGATTTGATTTCACCATTTTCCTCTTTAATCTGAAAGCTAAAGTGGGCTTGAAAGATTTAAATGTAAGAACAAACAATACAAACCCTAGCTAAGGGAAGTTTATTTCTTTGGTGTTTTTGTTTGTKTGCCATTCTCTTTTTCTGCTAACATTATTTAAACTGCAAAGTAGCCCAATTGCATGATTAACATGTACTTATCTGCAAGTCCTTGCAGAAGCTCTGATATTGGCAACACTTGATGATATAAGCAGATGTCCAAGCCTCAGTGTACTTGTAAATTTTTGACAAAATATATATTAAGATTTTTGAGTATTCAAACAGCAGTCCTCAAGCAGTTGCCATGGTAGTTTCTATTAAATACTTTGCAACTTCCAAGGAAAGTATTTCCATGAACAAATAAACTAGCTTTCAAATGAGTAAAAATGTGGATTTCTCATTGCTTCAAATTTCCCCCTCTCTTTCCAAACAAAGCATTTACAGCCATATCTGGATAATTCCTTCTTGATGGCCAGGAAAAASTCTTCACTTCCAGCTGCCACCTAGATTAGGTGACACTGTAACACTGTCTATCTCCCAGTCTATGGTCAAAATCAAACTGAAATTAAATTGCAGCATGATTTTCCACTGGTGGGTTAAAAGAGCTGAGGCAGTTTATATTATCAATGGGTTATTTCCCTATTACAGCTCTTTGAGGCCCTATAAGCACATTCTTTGTACATACTCATGTTCACTACACATATTCTATCAGGCAGACAATTCTACCCTAAAAGACTGTTTTGGAGCATGTCCCAAGAACCACTATTGATAGAATCTCAGGTAAGGTGTGTTTTTTTGGTCTCAGCTCCTCTCCAGCCAAGAATTCCTATCTCTCTCAAGGCTTTTCCCAAAAGCAAACAGACAGATGTGCAATGAAGGCACATATAACAAACACACCTCAAGAAGAACTGGACAGAAAGTAATTATTTCTTGAAATGTTCCCTGCATGTAGGGGTCACTGTGAGCAAACAAATGCCTGGCAGATCCCAGAACACTGAGTATTAAGTAATTTGCTTTAYTAAGTAAAAGCAAACAGACTGCTGTCCCAAAGGTAGCATCACTTGGAGCCTCAGTAAGGCCAGAACAGGAGGGGGTGGGAAGGCAGTGGAAGACAGACTGGAGCTCAGCGTCACAGCTTTGCAAATTACAACAACTGGCACATTCCACAAAGAAACCATTGATTTTGCCTAAATGACATACTGACAGCAAGAAGTGTTTTCTTGGCTRTTTCATAACATGTTTTTCACTGTCAGCTATCCAGAGAAAAATCTAGTTGAAAACTTCTTAGACTGGTGAGCAATTAATATGAAGAGAAACAGGGAAACAATACAAAAATCCTGGTCTACCAAAAACATGAAGCAGACAGGGCACTTCCAAAATCTGGGATACTTGGAACAATTTTGGCTGCAATTATGTAGAGTCTCTGAAGAGAGTAAAGGTAGATTACCCTTCCATCTTCTAGTAAGAACACATTCAAAAGGCAGACTTATCCTCAAATGAAACAACAGGCAAGTAAGGCCTGCAACTCCCACATTCTTGTGAAAATAAAAATCCAAAGGTGCATTWGTGAAAATACAGAAGTTTAAGCAGTTTTCCCACCAAAATAGCAGAACAGGAACAAAACTCTGTTTGGAACTGAGTTCTTTGTCAGAAGGAAAACAGATAATCAGACCTTTCAGCAACCTACTAGGAGTGTGTCTGGTGCCACGTGGTGCTGTGGGGTTCAGAGCAAGACCTGTGAGAAAGACTTCTGGTAAATGATGAGAATAAATAAAGCTCAGAACCATCCCACTAGCTAAAAGGTGCTGGCCATTAAAGAACCTAGTTGTGTATCTATGAATTCAAAAAGCACTGGGAGGGAGTAAGATTCAATTTCTGAGTATTAATCTCAAGATTAATGCAAGATTAATTAATTACTCATTTTTTCTTATGAATGACACTGCCCCTAACATGTCAACTAAATAAGGAAAAATTAGTACTTCATGGGTGGGTTTTTTTTCAAGTAAGAAACCATAATCTTCATGAAAAGYCCCTCTGTGCCGTAAGTTGCCAGAAAGTAAGATTTTGAACTGCCAAGATGCATTTTTTAAGAAGATGAGTTGAGATGCAAGCCCAATACAACACAGTAATTATACCRGTCACCTTCCAAATTAGGGAAGCTACTCGAGGCTTTTTTAAATAAATAAAATAGTCAGCTCTGTAATCACCCCARCATCACAAGGAAGTAAGGAAGAGATCCATGGTCTTATACGTAAATTTAAATCATTATAGTCATTTAAGAAACTTTCCTAGTGGGGTGCACAATACCAAGGGCAACAAGTCCAGTGTTCCACATTAGTATTTGAGTCTTATGAGAATTAATATATGGTCAGCAATACTCTGCGTCCTTCTCTTATTTTCTGGCAGCAGAATATCTGTAGAGATTTAAACAAATWATCAGTGAAACCTATGAGACTGACAGGTCTCTTCAGAGACCACCATGGCTCAAAGAAAGCTTTTTCTATGATTAAAACTGCCAAACGTTTGAATTGGAGCAGCTAAGTTTTCTTTTTTCTTGTTTTGGGAGGTATCTTAGAGCTAGTGATGGCATCACAGTCTTARTAACACAGATCAACAGAAAGGCTTGTTATTTTGCAAGAAGAAATCACCCGAAATACCACTGGCATGTTGAAATTCAAACCTTAAGAAATCAATCTATCAATCAATCAATCAATCAACAAATTTGCTTGTGATGTAAGAGGATGTCTCTGTCAGAAAAARTAAACTTTCTATTACAGAAAATAAAGCTCTTCACTCAGGATGAAAAAGGAAGCCATGCACACTATTAAGTGCTAATAAGCAGCTATTAATGAGAAATCAATCAGCAGTCAGAAGGGAACATCTAATATGACCATATCASGGCTGAAGTCCCAAAAGAAAATATAGACCTTCAAATATGTACAGTGGACCCTGACGCAGAGAAAGAGCTGATAATTCAGTTCCGCTAAGAAATACTAGGACTGATCCATTTACTCAAAAAAGTTGGGAAAAAACAAGTTACCAAGGTTGTGTTCACAGAGAATGGGATTCTGGTGTGCTCCTATGGGTGCTACTGAGGAGAAACCCTCAGTTACCATGGGTTAAGTGCACGTTTCCATTCTGGGACCTCCCCACAGCAAGTTGTGACCTTCTCAACCACCACGCAAAACAAGAATCTCTGGCCCAAAAAAATAACAATACATCATGAAGAAACAAAAGCTTTCTGAAGCAAATTCTAGTTCTAGCATCTGAATGCCTCTCTTTCAAAAAAACCCACAAAAACAGACATTGAACTCAGACAGTAAAAAAAATTAATGCCTCTATGAGGATACTGAAAAATATTTTATGAAACAAACCGGTTCTCTCAGAGTTGAGAAAATCTACAGAATACTCAAGTCTAAGTGGGATAAATCACTCCTGGTCTCCAGACCACTTTCTGTAATGATTAGACAAGAATTTATGGGTTAAAGAAGCTTAAATTGCATAATGAAATTCCCAGAGATGGACACAGAAGTCCTTTGAGTGTTGACAATTAATACATGTGTTTCCAAAAATCAGCTCTATTAAGTATTTGTAGAAGATAGTGTATTTCAGGGACAAGTKTAAGAAAAAAATGAGGGACTGATGAAGTATTAAGTAAAAATCCTCTGGTCAGCTGGAAAGAAAAAGCTGGGAGAAATTCCGTTTGTTTGCTGTATTTCTACCTTCATCTGCAATGGKATAATCTTTTAATAAAAGAGACTGTAACTGTTATAATGTCATCAGCAGAAGCTTATAAACATGACTGACAAGACTCAGATATTATTAACTTTTCATTCAAGTGGTTAAAACAGAAGACTGGGACAAAGAACTGAATTAGATTCCCATTCTTCATGGGCTATCCCTATGGTAGTGATCAAGTGCATGACCATGGATCATCAACCTCCACAGTGCATGCAAAGCACTTTTACTTTCACTAACTGTAACCACACAAAAACAGTTTTTTCACAAGGCCTCATGTCCTTCAATTTACACCTTAGGAACACAGCATTGGAAGACTACGTCCCAGTTATGGTGTCAAGTCCTTTGCTATAGTGTGCAATGCTGCTCTTAAACTAACCAAGCTGTCTTAAAAGCAGTTTCCCATTTGGTTTTGGCCAAGACAGCCAATTTTGTTCACAATAGCTAGTATGGAGCTGTTTTAGATCTGTGCAGRGAACAGTGCTGGTMATAYRGGGATGTTTTTGTTACAGCTGAGCAGAGCTCACACAGCACCAAGATCCTTTCTGCTCCTCACCCCAGCAKTGAGGGGGCTGGGGGTGCACAARGWGTTGGGAGGGGACACAGCTGGACAGCTGCCCCTAACTGACCAAAGGGGTATTCCAGACCATGTGGCAGCAAGCTCAGCACATGGAGCTGGGGGAAGAAGGAGGAATGGGAAGCATTCACGTGATGATGTTTGTCCTCCCAAATCACCATTACACATGATGGAGCCCAGTTTTTCTGGGGATGGCTGAACACCTGCCTGCCCATGGGAAGCAGTAACTTGATTCCTTTTTTTTTATTTTATTTCTATACACAACTCCTGCTTTACCTGTTAAACTGTATTTATATTTCAACCCACAAGTTTTCTCACTTTTACCCTTCCAGTTCTCTCCCCCATCCTGCTCAGGGGGGTGTGAATGAGTGGCTATGTGGGGCTGAGCTGCTGGCTGGGGTTAAACCATGACACAGCTGCAATACCACAAGACTGGTCAACAACTCTCCACTGTTGCCTAGAAATAAACTAGAAATTAAACTCTTCACCCAGGAMGAAAAAGAAATTGTCTTYAGATTTTCACATTCAATTTATTCAYATCTAGTTACACTAACTAGAGTTTGAGCAAACTTAGAATATCAGGAGGCTAAAAAAAAAAGTTTGTGAGCAAAAATGCTAAGCCACAGTCCCTCTCTCCCGTGTTTGTCAAAGGACATATGATAGACCACCTCAGCTTTTGCTTTGCTAGTCTGAATAAACCATGTAAGAGCTGCCTCTTACAGTCCGTGCTTTATTTCCCTAATCATTCACTCCATGATTATTACCACGAACACCTCTTCTACAAAGGTGTTSTTATTTATGTAGAGATTCAGTCAGTCAGAAGGAAGCTTCCTTGTTTTTGCTGTGCGTAAGGGAAACAGTTTTGGCTCTATTCTTCCCAAAAGCTCAGCCTCAGAGTGAAGGAGTTGGGCTACATCCCTTTTTTGTACCTACCCTTAAAAGATCCCATATGTTACAGTACATCTGTCATCACTGTACATATGTGGGGATCTGTAACACATGAAGCTATAGCATTTCTAACAGCTCTTATGGCCAATCTTTTCCCTGAGCTGTCAACTAGGTGCTACCCCCAAAGACGCTTGCTTTTCTTGGAATTCTGATATAGAATTCRTGATCTGCAGAACCAACACTGGGTGCACTGCCCCTGTGTTTCYAACAGCATCCCTGGAAATAATTCTTCAGAAAGATGCATGAACATTTGAGCTCTCTTGGTAAGGTGAAAGAATCACATATGAAATGAATTTATTCTGTGATCAACAAAGAGGCACTGAAAAGCATGCTCCCTCAAAAATAAATTCAGCTCAAACTCTGAGAAAAGGTGTGGTGATCCTGCCACCATCTCTTGGTAGGCCCCTTTGGGCTCTCTGTTACAGTTTYGATAGGAAAGTACCACATCAACCAGATGCAGGTCCTCACTGAACCTCCTCAACTCTTGGCAGTACAGGAGCAGTCAGTAAAGCACATACTTGCAGAAGCTTCTGCAAGTATACCATAAAARAAGGTGCCCAGACTAAGGAATTCTTACCAGAATGGCAATTAAGGATATGGGCACTGAGCATTTTGAGAAAACAAGAAGGAAGTGGGGAAAACATGGATTTCAGAACATTCTTTGAAATATTATTCAAKTTCTCTGTTTAGTCATCAGTTTCCATTACTCAATGTTCTGTGYAGATTACACTCTTTGCCGAGGAATAAAATCTCAGTGTTAAGGAAAGCAGGATGCTAGTGCTTTAAAAGACAGTATCATGTAGAGTAACATGATTCACATTACCAATAATTTAAATCATTAAATCATAAGAAACAAGCTCAAATGCAACCAATAGAGACATACCTTCTATCACTTTTATCTGGAATCCATTTGCTACAAGCCTTGGATCTGACAAATAACCYGATCCACGGAAACTCTGGTAATCCTTCTGCATTTTACAAAGAGCAGCCATATACTGAGATCCACCAATAAGACTGGAAAAAAAAATCCTCAAACTGTTAAAAACTAACATGCTTTATGTGAAAATTAAAACTGTGCAAAAACCACAGAAAAAGGTAGCAAGTGATAAGGAGTGATTAAGATTTTAAAAAATATTTTGAAAAAGAACTCTGTTTAAAGAAACAAAATGAGAACTATTCACTTATCTTAGTGAGTGACCAAGTTTAGGCATATAGTAACAATAATTTTATCCACCACTTCCTAATCCTTGGGAGAAAGTCAGCTACAGGAAAGTTGTGAAAATGTGGAGCATTTAATTTTCTTTKGGGGAGGAAATCTGTATTTGCTGTGCTACCAATGAAACTGGTCAAAAATCATACTTATTTCAACTACAGTAAGACTAAGCGTGCTCATTACTTCAAGATAAAAAGTATAAAARCCAAAAATCTGTTTTAACAAGTGAGTGCACAAATAATCACAGCATTAGCAAAGAGGGCTTTGCCAGAGTTTACTATAATTAATTATCAAACASTTCAAGGAACATAGAYATTTTTGCTCAATAGTACTATACCTGTCCGTTAACACGATTGGATTRTCCAGTTTCTGTACTGGAAGCTTGTGGTTCATTAGTAATCTCTTACATAACAGGGCCTCTTCCACTCTATATGGATTCAGCAACTTTACATTTTTTTCAGTAGCAAGCATCCAGACATCAGGAAAACTCTGACGACGGATCAGGAAAAGCTCGTGTTCATCTGAAGCCTTTTTCTCTYGTCTCTGAAAGTGACGTGTGCAGGAACTCAGAGAAAAAGGCACTGTCACAATTTTCAGAGGCTGTTCCAGTTTCCCCTTCTTTTGAGTCTGGTCATGGAACATCTTGTCAAGCTTCTGCTGGTCAGATGCAGAACTCTTTAGCTTGGGTTTGTGTTTTTCTGCCTCCTTTGCGGRTCGGTGCAGTGGCTGTGCATTGGCTTTCTTGACATCTCTGTTGTACCGYTCCTGGTCCTTAGTGGCTTTTATTTCATAACTGAAAGGACAAAACAAACCTGTAGCATCAGCAGATAAAAASCTCCAGACCCCAACTCCTACCACACTAAACCACAAGGCAAGGTAATCATTTCAACAGTCAGGAACAACATCCATGGATCATTCAAGTACCCATATCAATATGCTGCCCACTGCAATGGAGATGTGCCTGCATTACATTACACAAGCTGGAAATTCTCCTTCATCATGACAGCCAGCAAAACCTCAATTACTGTAAGAGGGAGGAGCTATTACTGTAAGGAATTGACTGCATCATATAAAAATCTACTGCAAACTGCTTTTCACSTTAGTCCCTTGTTTAATTTGCAGTCAAATATAGTTTTGGAAGGAGTTTTGTGTCACAGGCACATCCGGCTCAATTCACAAAGTCATTTAAGCTTCTAGAGCTCTACAGACTTCCAGGGCAGGCCATGTGGCTGGCAGGAGTTGGGAGCCTGAATAATTTCCCAAGCCTCAGGCCTTACTTAATAAAACTATATTTGATTTCAAATGACCTAAAATTAGCCATATTAAGTGTAAGAATACAGAATATGCATGATTATCACAGAATTCTGTAACTAATAATCAATTTTAGAGATTTTTCAAAAACCCTCAATAAAAAACCAGTCCTAAATGTTGTCTAAATGGTTAAAACATTACTACATACTAAACCTTTACAACATGAATGGATTCTTAATGGGTTTATAAATGTCAGAGAGAYAGCTAAACTTTTATCAGTCCCAGGTTTATGCTTGTCTAGTGCATATGAATTTTACTTTTCTGAAAGCAAAGGGTGTGATTTGCTGAACTCCCTCTTTTTGCCCTTATTTGATATCCTGAATTCTAGAAGGTAATTCAAACCAGTCTAATCYTCAATTAAAACAAAACAAAAAGAAAGTAGTACTATCATACGTTAGTATTGGAAGTAAGTATTTTAGCTGGTCATATTTATTTATTGCTACTTGCTGGAACAGTTTGATTCAATTATGTGTATGCATGCTGGAAAATTAAGGTCAACAAAAGGGTCACCATTTGCAATTAATTATGATGTGCTAGCATTCACATATGGTACCAATATTTAGTTAACTAAAAAAGTCAGCTTAAATAGTTTCTTGCAATAAATCACGTCCTAGAAAATATGGWGCAAACATTAAGATAAAAAACATCTGCTCCTTTTAAAATGAATGGATAAAATCACTTGAACAGAATTTTTTTTAATCCCAAATTCATTTACAGCTTTGACCAGATCAACAAATACTTTGTTTTGAACAGACCTAACTGTAATGCAAAAATATATTTAAGTGTAAGAGAACTGAGATTTCAGTGATCACTGATAATTCAAAATGAAAGCACTTCCAAAGTCCAATTTGCAGGTCAGTTTAGTATACCACCAGATAAATTCTAGCCTCATAAACTTTGATTGTGAGAATCTTTCACATTCATACACATCACTGTCAGTGATTTGCCCAGAACCAAAGAAATACAGATTAAAAAACTATGAGGGAACACCTTTGCCTTTCTGAATATCCTTACACAGATGCATATACAATCAACAAGTGCTACAAGAACAGCTTTTCTCTGCTTTGTGAATTAAGACTGCAAATTCAGGATCCTTTTTTTAAACTACAAAACCTAAAGCCAAGGAAATTTGCAAAACTGGGAGAAAATACAGAGTGGAAGACTAGAATGAAGGCTAGTTTCAAAGGAAGCTTTGGTTTAACTAGAAAAATGGATCCAYGATAAATTGTTTTCCCCTTGCATCGTGAATCTGAACAAAATTAACAGCCTATTAAAAAAATCCCTTTTCATATAGAAGTCTCTCAGCCCTTATACAACAAATAATCTGAATTKGAATATTTGCAGCAAACTCTGACAGCAAAGACCACGCTACCTGAAAAATGTTTCTCCCAAGGTACAAATATACTCATGAAGAATTACTGCARAGTGCTGACAAGGTGATTTGTCAGTCCCATGATAATGTGTGTAGCTTTGAACCTTTCCTACATCCTCAGGGTAACTGCTCCTGCCACTGCTATGGCACTTGGAGGGATTTCTCCCACTCCTACCTGAGCCTGACATGCAGGAAACATTAAGGCCAGAAACATATGCAAGCTGTATGAACGAGGAGCCGAGTGAGTGCAAGAAATGAAATCCTTTGCAAAGCAGGGGGATATGCAATGCTGCCAGCATGGACATGCACGGAGCTTTCCTCCTCTATTATAACCTAAAGACCATAACATTTGACATTCCGGTTGTGTAATAAATGCTGGCTTGTTTTGAAAAGGCCATCCTGTGTCACTACGAGACATCTGGTGCTTGTACTACTCCCAAAAGGGATTTAAATTAATTTAGACCCTACGGAGGGGCCACAGAGAGAAAGAGAGATGCTGAAACCATGCACAGCCATTGCACAAGGCAGGACTTTACCACAAAAGGACGGAGGACTACAGCCCAGGAAATGTGGTGTTGTGCCAGCAACGATGCACAAGTAGGGCTGTGGCTCTTGGGCTGCCCTGATGTATAGACGTTTGTTGTTACCTCTAGGTGGCCCAATTTATCCAGAGTACCTGGAAGGAAAGACTCATGTTCTCCCCCAYTAGTCTTCTGGATTGCTGATTTGCAGGAAAAGTTGTCTGTCTATCTCTTCCTATTGCTGTTTTCTGAGGCAATTTTAAGAGAATAAAAGTGGAAAGGTAGACCAAAGCTGAAATCTATAGATACAACTAACGGTAAATTCTTCATTTCCTCCAATATCCATGGGATTCAATCCTACATATAAGGAAAATACATATACTACATATAACATATTGCATTAAATTCTACATATAAGGAAAACTTGATTACCAGAGAGGTCTCCTTCCTGAACTAATGCAAAGTTAATCTGTAGGCACACTCTTTAACATAACAGTTGTACCAAGAAAGCAGCCATGAAATCTCAAAAGCTAAAGCAGAGCAAATTAAAATTTTCTGAAACAGCTGCCAGAACCTTTTGTTTCATTTCACTAAAAGCATAAATATAATTGGAGTACATTTCTACTATTATATTAATATTTCTKCTTATGAAAAAATGGACAAAACACTTCCCACACGTATGTGTTTGTGACCATAGCGTGTTGCTTGCATGGTAAACTTTAAAGAAGGAAAATCAGAAGCTAGGTGAAAAGATTTTTACTTAACTCTGACATGGCTGATGTTCAGAACAATGCAGATGTTTTGTTAAAATATTTCCTTTTCTTGCAGATGGATTTCAAAAACTCTGTGACATTTCAATTTAGAAAAATATGGAATTTAGCTATTCAGATTTCAAATTAGGAAGAGACTTGGTTTTGTTTGAAACAGATTAAAATTCAGACTGCACTATACTCCCTGAATCAGCACTTGAATAGCTGTTTAGGGGAAAAAGTAATTCTTTGAATTATTTGATAGGGTTTTACAAATACTATTCTGAGGTAGCCTAGGTTGGGCTGCAACCAAAATTTAGAGGAATGGAATTTAACAAATGTTCAAGTACTAAAGCTCCTAAAAAAGAATTCTCACATTATAGCAATTGAAGTTGAAAAACCTCTGAAGAACTCTGCAGTGCCTCATCCATCACTGTGCTGGTTTTCAAGGACAGTGCATTAGGAGGGACATGGTAAAGGCAGCCCCTAGAAGTCTGTAGGATGCAAACAGTACACCTTCTTACCCGTTACCTTAAATAACTATTCAGCAAAACTGTCCCTAACTGCTGCATGGCACAGTGGCAAAATGAGTAATTCCAATAAGCAGTACACAACTGCACACAGCAAAACATCAGGACTCACAATACTGATTCGGATCTTGAAAAGTCAAAAATATTTTAATTATTTTCATAAAGAACTGTTAAAATACATTTTTTAAATTCTCTACAAGTGACTCTTTGGTAGCTTCCAGATTTAGAAGCAACACACAGCCTGAATACTTACTTTTTTTTCTCCTCTTCATTCAAATTCTTCCACTGCTCTTCAATTGTCAGCAGGATGTCATTCATGCTGGTCTTTGGATTATCATTTATCAATTTTGGACGACATTCATGTGTGAAAAATTCAAACGCAGACTTTGGTTTCTTTATTATTCTGCTATTAATTAAGTCATAGGCTGTCACATGTCCAAATTTTTCACTTATCAAGTTTTTTTTCTTTATGCCTTGATTTGAGGTGTGTGGATCATTGCTTTTTCCACCATTTTGGTTATTAGCTGGCCTTCCAACTTCAGGAATCAAAATCTTAACAGGTTCCAGCTTGTCTCCCAGACTGTCTTTAAATCCATATCCCATACTCCAACTATCAGCAGAGATTTCAGATAAGCCTTTAGGGACTAAGGCTTCCTCATTTTTATCTATTTTGCCATTTTTATCAGAACTCAAAAGATGCTCACTGGCTTTTTTAGACTCGGACTCCACAGGAACACTGTTGTTTTGAATATCAGCTATATTGTGTCCATTCTGTTCCTCCTCATGCAATAAATTTACMGAACTGTCTGGAAAGGCATCACTCTTAGAAACCTCTCTTTTGTCCAGGCGACTGTGTGCACTATCACCACTAAATGTCTGATGATTTAAGCAGATCTCTGCGTTTTTTCCTGCTTGACAGTTTTGCACATCACTGCTGAGTGAAAGGAATGAAGTATGAGCATGTAGCTCATCATTTCCAGATGGTCCCATCTCATTAACAACCACATCTGTTTGGTCTGTTCTATGAACAAACATGTCTTCTGAGGTAACATCTGTTTTATTACTTTCACCAGGGACTGYAGCAGGTAGTGGGCCATACAGAGATTTCAACACATTTTCAACTGCAAGTAAGACAGATTCCTGGAAAATAAGAAGAAACGAAGCAGAAAATACACACACACACAAGTGCACCTGGAAATATAACTGCCAGATACCAAGAACGCAGAACAATATGCAAAGTGCTCTTATTTGGAATAATTTTTAGACAAATCTGGACAGATTATTGCATTGCAGTTGTTCCCACATTCCAAGACTCGGAACTGGACACTTTCAGCCTCAAATATTTTGTGACTGTATTCTGCTTCACTAGTTTACTCTGGTATCACAAAACCAATTAAATGCTTTCTTTGTAACAGGGTTCTGACTGCTTAAACCAGTATCAGGTAAAGCTATTCCTACCTAATATGGAGCTAAAAGTTTACAGCCAAAACAGGTGCACCAGCAACATCCAGTTTTATGAATGTATCTGTGCAGGTGCTCTTATGACGCATATTTCCAAATCAACTTTGCATCAAGTGATGGAAATGAGTATGATAAAAAATCAAAACAAAAAAAAAATAGAAATAAATTTGAATAAAAGAAAAAAAGAGAGAAAGGAGACTCCAAACCTTTTTCTAATGCCAAAGGAAAACTAGATCAAATGGAAAATGCTGTGTTAATTTTCATACAAGTGACACGTATCAGGCTATTTGCAAGAGTCACACAAATACAAAAGATTTTCATGAAGAAGAGAATTAACATACTGGTGTAACTACCTATATTCATTTTGAAAAAGTACATTAATAACCACTAAAGCAACCTTTCTATTTTCTGTGGCGCTTCATTGATGTCATCAATAATCTGTACACATAATGACAAAACAGCACTTTGATGACAAATAACTCCCCTYGTCCCCACCCCCGTTTTAATATATGGGGTGTTTAAAGAGTGGTAACTTAGTTTAAATATGAAGTTAAGCATTAGAGGGCCACATAWCATAATTCCACTTATCTTCTCTAACTATAAAGCCATTTGAAACCAAAATGGTACCTCATATACCTGACAGCTTAAAAATCCTTTAAATCAACTGGGCAACTAATTTTGAAGAATCCCYCCCTAAGCCCGTTCAGTACTTTTTGATCAAAACCATGCTCTGACACAGGCAAGCTGYCAKGTAACTAAAAAAAACYCCAAAACCCCAGGGGCACTGTTTACCTTTAAACATTCTGGTAGTCCCAAGGCCCTTATAATGCTTATATAAATTAAAGATTGACAACTTAAAACCAGAGTAGAATCTTAATTACCTTATCATGTAGCAAAACTTGTGTTTTATCAGGTGTTATATTCACATCCACAGCAGAGGCAGGGACAGTGATATTCAAAAAGAAAACAGGATATAAACGAGTGCAGTTCTTTTGTGCCGCCAGACTGTAGTATTGTCGAATTAACTACACATTGATTTAATAAAGAGATGTCAGTAAAGGCAACAAAATAGACAAAAAGGCAGAGAAACAAAATTTGACATAAAAGAGTAACTGGTTTGCTGGTTTTGTTGGTTTTTGAAGTTAAAGAAACACTTAAAATGTCCTCATATACATGTATGCAGAATAATTATCAAGAGGCCAGTTCCTGGTGGTTTCCATGCCTTCAYAGCATGGAGGTGAAATACTAGGTCTATATTCCATTGAGGGCATGTTAAAGAACCATCTCTGCAATGGGATTCAAGCTGAGCTTTGAACTCTCAAAAGAGCCAGGTACATCAGATAATGCATGGAGACAGATTGGCCTTATTCAGTATTGAACACACCARCACAAGGTCAGGGTTTACATCTACAAAGCTTTGTTTGCCAACTGAAAACTACTGTTGTGTCCACTTTAAAACCTACAGGAACACTTTGGCATGAGCATGATTTTCTTTCCTGGCGATGACAAGGATTAGGACAGCAAGGCTGCTCCAAGTGAAGTGCTGCAAGGTTCAGTAGTGAGAGAAACCCAAGAGTATCAAATTCTGCCTACACAATGCCTAGCTGTAGCCAATGCTGCTGCACTATCACTTTCATTTCTACCCAATGCATACACAAATTTAAAGGGAAAGCATTGGTGTTTGCTTCATAAGCAAAACAGCTTAGAAGTGGATAAAATCAAAACTATTTTAAAGAATTCTCTTAAAGAAACTACATCAAGTTCCCCTATGAGAAATTGCAAAGGTGACTTATGCAGATTAATACGAAGAAASAATCAACTGTTCTGATGTCTTGCATAGAGCATCCAAAATTCATTTTCTCTAACACCTAAAAATACCTCCTCCAGCTCTGTGCTCTGGCTGCAGCAAATGGAACAGAGCTGAGGCCACAGCAGTGTCAGATTTGTGGAAGGGCTTTCTGTTGTAAATGCTAGTTATCTTCACCTGTGATACTCTTAATTATTCCATGTGGGAAAAAACCTGCAGATTGCTTAGGTGTCTCTGTCCTCRAAGGAATCACATTTCTACTACTTGAATTAAAAGCTAGAGGATGTTACCTTCAGTATTTCCTTCTGAAGAACTGGACGATTATTTATAAAAATGAAACTCCTTTCTGAACTTGAAAGGCTTGTCAAAGAACTGTCTGATTCAGCTTTTGGGAGAAATCCAGAAAGATTTATCTGCAATGATAAAACAAGTATAGTCCAAAAGTCTTTTAAAGAACCCAAAATGTCATTTATAGAGGTAAGATAGTAAAACAAAAACGTACAGGAGTGCAAGTCATTCAAATACATGMACTGCTTCTTGACAGTTATAACGTACTGTCATAATAAAGATAAGTGCACTTTATGAAAAAAAGGGAGGTTGAGAAAGATAGGTTTGTGTCTATTTCCCTAAAACAATTAATGAAGACGTTTCCCATCTGGACTGCCAGTTGCAGCAGGATGCTGCCTGGAGCTGAGGGCTGTGCAGAGCCAGGCCAGCAGCTTTTGGCTTGCTGACTGCAGGGTTGCCAATGTAAGCCCTGTCCAAGCCAAAGGCACAGAGCACTGCCCAACCTGGCCAGGGCACCAGTGAACCACCCCTACAGGGAAAGCCCAAAACACACAATCCCTCCCTTTCTACATACACAGCACCTTAAATAGGCTGTCATAGGGCATTTATTCAGGGCACCTAAATTTACCTACGCCACCTGTATCCAAATCATCTGACTCTCAAGAGTGCTGAGCACCCACGATTCACAGGCTGCAGCAGAACCTGTAAGCACAGCACTGCCAGGGAGCCTTGGAAACAGCATATGATTTGTGTACCTAACATGAACTCCAAGTTTTAAGATTTTTTTGCTGAGATTCTTTAACAGGTTTTTTCAGGTCAAAACAAGGCCGATGACTTGTGCTGCCTGTCCTATCTCTTCCCCCTCTCCCCCCGTAAGCAACTCTGAAACTGTTGGATGGATTTCAAATCAATCTGATAAAGAAGCTGAAATCCCAAAGATGCATTTGCACAATTTCTGTGATAACTGACAGCTGTTTGGAGAGAACAGCCTCAAGATAATGACTTTACTACGGAAAAGGCAATTTTAACTTTTCAAAAGCCAGGAACTATCAGCGTTCAAGAACTGACATGCTGGGCAGCCCACATACTGCCCTCTGCCACCTGCCCAAACTAATTGGTGAAAGAATGCTGGGGCATCATGAGGAGAGAGATTTTGGAGGTATGGGAAAGTCTGGAGAATGTTCCAGCAGCAGGGTGGATCACTGAACACARAAATGAGTCCTCATAAGCTCTGCTTTTGGCAGAACCCCTTGTATTTACTAAAATCCAAATTATCATGCATTTGAAACGGAATTTAAAATCCATGGGATTTGGCCTATCCTTCCCATTCATCTACGTCACAGCAGCTATCTGCTCATGTGCTCCCTTATTCCCTCTTGACCTTGTACCAAGCATTCTGTGCTAAAGCTGGCGTGTTCTGGTCAGCAACGTCGCACAGAACCAAACACCACTGGTCAAATTAAAGAGGTGTCAAGTATCTGTTGGATGATTATCAGAAAACAACATGCAGCACTTCTAGATTTTATTCTGCAGCTTTAGCACATCCTCCCTCAATGTTCCTCCCCTATGCTTCAAGCTCTTTTTCTAATTCACAAATATTTGTACAAGTCTTTCACTTCAAAYAATATTTTTTATACACAGAAAACTGTGTATAAAGCAAAACTGAAAGTCTYCAAATAACTCATTTAACAAGTTGCCAGATTTAGAAATGGCTGACTGCTGTTACTATTTACAGTCATGTAGAATATCAGTATGCTCATTAAAAGTTATCTACAATTCATAAAACTAGTCTTAGTAGAATTTTCATACACAAAAGTATATKAAGTATAAAAACAATTACAGAGACTGGAAAGTACTAATGAAACTTTGATTTCAAACTAGATTAACTGTTTTCAAAATCAATACTTTAATAAAAACCCCAACTTACATACGTATTAAAATACACCTGTGATGGGTGAACAGCAGAATGCTTTTCTTGAATACTTACCTTTTTCCCAGTGGCACATGTACCTGCTAAACTCAGCCTTCAAAGGCAAAGAAGAGGCTAGAGAAATTTCCTGTGTGAAAGTTTTCAGCCCAAACAAATCTATCCACTTRCAAGACTGAGGATCTGAAAAGTGTAAATACTGTCTTGTATTACGAAAAATTGTGCCAATTTTTTACTTTATTAGTTTTCCTTTTATTTTACAAGTAGCTCCTGAGTTTGCATGCTTCCAAACTAATCTGAAATGTGTTCTTATTTCCTTCAGTGCTCCCAATGGATATGCTTTCAAGAAGGCCACTCTTTAAAATCCCTGTATCACTTGTTCAAGAAGTTTTAACTGCAGTGAAGAACAGCAAGATTAGTTTTGTCTTCAGAGTAGACTTTGCAGCAAAGGAGCATGAAGCTACACAGTGAACAAGTAGGAGTTAAAAGGATTAAAGAGCTGGCCTCTGGTCTATATAGCAAATGAGACATGGACCCAGTGGGAAGGAACAAAGAGCAGCATATGCCTTCCCCTTAAATACCTGTTCCAGTACCTGCACACAAGGGAGGAAAAAATGGTTGCACAGGCAACTTAACTCTGCCACTTCATAATGTTTGGCTGCTTAGTTTAGAAATGTCCACGGTTTCTGAACGTCAACATTATGCATGGGTCACTTATACACCTATAAATGATGCACATGGTATTTTACACACTATTTAGAGACAGAGAGAGAGATGGAATGTTCCCCAACTTCTATTCAAGGAATATGGATGCCTCATGATATAGCAGAGAAGTAATGTGAGAACCCAAGTGCCTCCTCCAGGCTAGTCCCTTCTAAATACCCCCTTATCTTCCCTTTGGAGCCCCCTGCACTCGTCCTGTGGGCCCATCCAAGCTATAATCAGGTAAGAACAGCTCTGGATGTGCTGTTCAGACATAAACAACTAAAACTTTGTAAAGAACAAGAAATGACTTAGTTTTGTTCCCCTTCATTTCACTGCATGCACACAAGCTTTCTGGCAGACTCAAGATTTAAGTCTGAATAATGCTATTAAATTGTACCTATATACAGGCAGACCTTAAAGTCCAAATAAYATTATTAAGCAGCAAGCTGAATGTAGCATTGGTAAGTTGTGTCTAAGAGCCATTGTGACCTTACAGTGATTCATCTCATCTTGTCAAGATTTATTACTACAAGATACAGGAAAAGGCAGCTTAGGAGGTTCCAAGGTAGCAAGATTCCACTTTAATAAAAATGTCTCCAACAAAACGGAAGCAGAGTAGTAAAATATTTTTTGAAAACATGAGACAAAGGAGAGTATCATGGGGAATGCTCTCATCCTCAGAAGRAGCAGGAGCCAAGAACACTGAATTTTTTGAAAACTAGAAAATATTTCCTTGGAAAACATGTTTTGTGGAAATTTTGCATAACTTGCCCTTCTATGTGTTCCTTTTGCTGCTCAGGTGCCCCCACTGAAATTGAGGGGATACTCTTTTAGAGTACAAGGCTAAGAGGCCATGAAGATGAGAATGATCTAAATGCTTAGATATTAATCAGAGCACAACCTGCCTGTGGGCCAGGAATCCCAACTGAGACAGCTCTGAGCAATCAGCAATTCTGCATTTGTCATCACAACTGTTTTTACTGCCATTTGATCAGTGCCACATGAGTCCTGACGAGATGATTCTTGGAGTGGATTTTCAATCACCAAACCAATTAATTTTACAGAGAGGACAGTAATAGAATCAAATGCATTAATCAGATGTCAATCTGGAGATSCATCTTCTTTTTCAAAGTCTGCTTGTTTTTGAGTATTTCTTTCACTCTCTTCATTGACAGACCTGAAGTGAATTTGGGAGAGGGAAGTTTAAACTCACCTCAGGGTATTCGCAGCAGTGTTGAAAAGGTACCATACTGCTCATAACGGCTGTTCCCAGAACTGACATACAGGCCATTTTGTGATCTGACACCCTGGTCTTCTGCCAAATAACTGCCTGAAACAAATGGCACAGAGTCAAATTTTTGACATTATATTTGCTGAACTCATGTCATGTCTATGAACATGCATATGCAACTGCACACACACTGTATATGTAACATTCTGTACCCTGACCCTCTGAAAATCACAACTTTCAGTGTTAACAGACTCGATATGGTACCTYTTGACACGTCTTCTCATATTGTATTACTTTTTCTGACACACAGCAATTGGAAAACTAAGCAAACCTTGTATTCGTGGATGTTTTGTGGCCATTCTGGACTTCTGTACATGAATCAACTGTTAAAACCAAATCAATACAAATACWACTTCTCCTCTTAGATATACAGCAGTGGGCTTTGTGCTTTTCCWGAGCATATAAATTGAGGGTTTATGACATGACTCTCACAGGCTGGTCAACATTTGAAGGTGAGCACTACAGTGCTTATGTTACCTAAACCAAAGGGGCTCTTTTGGTAGAGAAAAGGCTGTCCATTCATAGCTCACACCTGGATATTCTATGCCTATGACAAGCCTGCCATTTAGAAAGGAAAGCAGTTTCCAAGGAACCCTATATTAAGAAAACAGTCATTTGTCCAATGAAAACTTCGTACAAGTTTTCCTTCCTTTTCAGAAGGATGAAGGAGTATCTTCTGTATTAGCTACATGTCTTGAAGTATCATTGCAAAGACTTAATGAATACAGTGAGGCAATATGAATTGRAACTTGAAACAGAAGTTACTTGTCAAATCCACTCATGCAGAAGTATTAGCTTCTTTGGGAGGTGAAATCTTGTCTATCACTGATGAGAAGTACTATACCAAATAGTCACAAATTTAACTCTGAATCTGCTGACCTTCAYTGCTGTRTATCAACAATGAAAATGTTTTCCTTAATTGGTTTTTTGCTTCTAYGCAACTGAGACTGCTATACTCAGATCCACTTCACTTTTGTCACTGTTAGCTGCCTGAGTGTATTCAGTGTACAACCTTTAAACACAAAAGGAAAAATAATGCAGCATGTTTGCATTTTAAATTGGATGTTACAGTGCTGTTAAAATTTATATTTTATTATGTACTCTATGTATTTTACTATAAATATATTACTAGGTATCCAATAAATTTAAAATGAGCTTAAAGTATTCAAGAACAGGACGTTAAGAGAATTGATGGTGAGAGAGCAAAAAAATACACTTGCACCCATCTCAAGAAATGCAATACATAGCCTTAAAATTCCACCTGTCYAGTGGGATATTTGCTGGCCTTCAGAACATGGTGTTCCCGTAACATAATATTCCCTTCCTACAGGACAGGTGGAATTGTAAAGCTTTAAGACTGTTGACCTTAAACTATTCCCCAAATCTCTGATTTTCCWGTTCCACGTACATTCTGCAGCATTTGTGAAGTGTGGCTTTTTAGTCCTGCCTGAATCTCATTCATCTCCTACACAGCAGCCTGACAGGCCTTTGCACGTGCTGGATCACAGCTCAGTTATCGCACAGCAAGATGAAGSTCTCAAACATAAAGCACAATTTACATCAGGGAAGGCAGCGAATAGAAAAAGGGGAGAAGGAGAAACGAGCAGGCAGAGCCACAGGCTGGGTGTCCACAGCTCTGGCAGGGAGTCCCTCCTGTGCTCTGGAGCAGGCAGAGGCAAAGGACAGCCTGGGGCTGCCTCTCAGCCTTCTCCTCTACACCTGCTCTAAGCCTCCTCAAAGACATTTTGGAGTGATGAAAGAATCTGTCCTCTTCTTTATAGCTCCTCTTATAAAACATATCCTGTACTGCTTCTATTTTAAAATAGATTACTTAAAATGGAAACAGAAAGTGCCAAGTGATTTTTTTCTTTACTGGATATATTTTAAATTAAATGCATGTGACCAAACTGAGAAAGACACTTGTTACATGACTAATATAAACATCATGCTGTTTATTTTAGGGTATCCTAGTGTGATGCTGCAGGTACAGATATAAATCTTAGCTGCTGATTAATGCAAGGTTATTACACTGCTTGACCTGCTTCAATGGCTGATACTCAGAACTGTGAAAAGTTCACTTGAGTAAGGTGGTTTTAAGAAAGCTGTGGAAAATGAGAACCTATTAAATGCAGACTTGGTAAAAGCAGATACTGTAATATGTTCAGACTAGTTTTTTAACTRGCCATATACTCACCAGATATTTATACTTGATACTACACAAAATTGTAGGAAACACAACATACTAAGCCTACATAYTAAAGAGGCCAGGCAACTCCTGAATTTCTACACTATATAAAGACAAAATAAAGTGTGTATCCCTTTTTAGCCTTGACTGCACATTATGGAGCAACAACATAGGAAGAGCTTGTAATATGTAGAAAATTATTTTTCTAGACTCCCCAGATGTATCAACAGCCATTAAGAATTTCACTGAGAAACAATGCTTGTTCCATTTAATTTATTTTGGAAAGTGTTGCCATGAGTTTCCTGCAATACCCTATTTTTTTTAACCTTGCTTATACCCTTTAGTTYAGCTAAAAATACACCCCTCACACACCCCCCATATTTTTTTTCTAGGTCATATAAAGCGGGTGTCCAGGATGAGCCAAGGAAGAATCTGACTCTTGTCAGTATGATGACGCTGCAGAAACAGCCTACTCAAAGATATATTATTACATAYGGCCCATCTTAGGTTTTGCAAGAGCTAGCCAAATATATCACACCTCTCTCCTCATTTCATTGAAGGGGATTGCACGATCCAGATATTACAAAATGTCATAATGCATATAAAATCTATTGCACATATGCAGAAGATAATTATATGTATCTCTGTGTGTACCTATTTCTCCAGCATGCAGCCCTAGGACTCAGGCATACTTTTGTGGAGGTTAACAATGTACATTCCAAACAAAATGATTCTATGACTCCATGCACACGTGGACTAGGCATATTTCAGGATAAACACACATAGTGCAGAAGGATTCCTTGAAAAATGTGCAAAGTGTGGAGAGAGAGTGCAACCTCTTCCCACTGGGGTCCCTGGTATAGAGCACTACAGAGAAGGAAGAGCTGCTCAGTACTTGTTTCTTCAAAGACCCCAAGGACGAACAGAGAAAAAAAAATGCAGTTGCTCTGCATCCCTAACTATCCTTCATAATTTAGAATTTCTACCAGCAGCTWCAGTGCTTTGCAATCCCAGATAAAAGGAAAATCTTTAGTATGAGATGGGGACTGGATGCTGTTTCCAACTGTGGCTACTTCAACACAATTAYGATGCTATGAGTTAAACAGACTCATTACATTTACCTTATTACTACGTAATGGCAGTAACTTAATGAAGCAGACTTTTACGACCCAAACCCAATCTATTTGCTTTATTATTTCTTGACAGTCATATTATTCACCCAGTAATAAAGTCTGAGGRTTAAAAAGTCTAGTTGAGCAAGCARTTGTATGTGAGCTGTAGGCTGGTAACGTGAGTTAGCTCTGYAAAAGAGAACTACATTTCACAGCCTGTCTAACTTTGTGATACATGCTTAAAAAATCCGGTCACCTGGCATCTGAGATCTCACTGTAGATAAGTCTATGGGCCAGTATGTTCCTTAGCTTCTAGACTTAAAACTTAATAGTTTATTAAGCTTCAATTGAARGCATTGCTGCTACCTGTCAAGAGAGTACACAAACAGGAACAAAGCCAGGCAGCAATACCCCAAGCTTGAATTGAGCCCAAGGGAAACAAAACCTCATTATTTTGTACAATGTCTATAAGCTCTTCAGCTTAATGATGCACAGACATGCAGCTCCAAGGGCTGGCACATTCTCTGCAGTGGAAGAAAASCTATCTGCTAAGATCAAGAACAGATCAATATAGTCTTGACCACATTCTTTAGAATGCCAGCCTTAAAATTCACTGATGTTTTTCAGCTCCATGCCTTAACTGGTGTCCTGTTTTAAAACCAATGATAAGTTAACTTTCTAAAACTTACCTAAATTGCCCTTGACAATAAAAATCAAAACAGTTTTTCAATTTAGCTTATAGAAAAATTATGCAACTATGCAAAATTATGAAAACAATCGTAATTATTTTTCCAGATATTTTATACTCACCCCTAAGGAATCAGTTGTCCTCTCCATTTTGAAGGCAGTGCTTGGATAACTACCAGTGGAGACACACAATAGAGAAACTCAAGGCACCATTTTCCCCCTGATCGGATGCAGCTGCCATACCTGTCTATCCCATGGGCATTAGATAGTAGAGCTATCAAGAGGATTTGCTAAAAGACAGTTCCATAGCACTGTTCATTCTACAAATTCCATTGTATTCCTTACTSAGATTTCCCTTTCATGATATGAGCGCACCCTCTCAATGAAAAGGCGCTCTTGAGCAAGACACAGTGAAGAAATGCTTGGATTTCTCCAAGCATTGGAGAAATCTTGGAGTTAGGAGCTAATAGATATTACAAGGAGCCAAAGATCTTCCTCTGGTAACATCTGACTTCAAAGCCTTTCAAGAATTGCAAAGACTATTGAGTCGTACGCTTTTTGATTGCTTTAACCACACATGTTCAGCCATGGGTTTCCAGAGAATCTATCTCCTCTTATGACCAGGTGACCCCCCTAATGGATGAGGGGAACGCTGTGGATGCAACCTAAACTTCAGTAAAATCCTGGGCACTGTCTCCCACACCATTCTCCTGGAGAAACTGGAACCCCTGGCTTGGACAGGTGCACTCTTTCTGGATGCATTTTATCTGCATGGCCAAGCCCAGGGAACGGTGGTAAATGGAGTTAAATCCAGTTGGCAGCTGGTCACCAGTGGTGTTCCCTAGGACTCAGTATCAGGGCCAGGCATGTTTAATATCTTTTCCAATGATCTGGAGAAGGGAATCAAGCATACCCTCAATCAGTTTGCAGGCAACACCAAGTTGGGTAGGAGTGTTGATATGCTGGAGGGCTGAAAGGCTCTGCTGAGGGATCTGGACAGGCTGAATTGATGGGCCAAGGCCAATTGTGTGAGGTTCAACAACGTAAAGTGCCAG